AATCCGAAAGACCCAGACTAGGAAGTGCGTCTCCTAGGGGTGAAATTTCAATGACTAAAACTAGGAAGTGCGTCTCCTAGGAATGAATTTAAATGACCAAAGCTAGGAAGTGCGTCTCCTAACAAGTATAATCTGAAAGACCCAGACTAGGAAGTGTGTCTCCTAATGGGTAAAACTTCAATGACTCCAACTAGGAAGTGCGTCTCCTAGGGATGAATTTAAATTACCAACATTAGGAAGTGTGTCTCCTAAAATAAAATATAACTTGAAAGGCCCAGACTAGGAAGTGCTTCTCCTAGGTGTGATGTGTGATCTTCTCAATAACCTTTGCGTAAGCAGAATTGGGGCATTACACCTGAAAAATTCAAGCTTCGTTATGAACATAGCCTTCATCCCTGTTTCAGACAAAGAAAACTTGTGAGTTTAAAACACGGTGGTTAGTTTGTGGCCTTGACCTTGAAGGCGGTTGCTTCTGCACTTGCCAAGATAACTTTGATTTCACCTTGGAAGACCTTGTCTGTTTATTGACTACCCATTTTCTTTCAACCCTTATCACAGAAAACACCTCCACTCCATTCGATCCTAATATCCTCTATCCGTTGCATTTTGCTCATGAATTGACATTTACCGAACCTTTGATTTCACATGAATACCAAAGCATGTTAATTGTTATCAACTTAGTGCGCATACTGTTCTTTCCTGACTTATGCCATTTTGATGTGCTAGCCATAATCCGCTTTGTGGAATTGGAAAGCTGGTAGCATATTTTGAAGTCATTTCTTTACTTGTTCTGGCAAAACAGACTCCAGAGGACTTAAACAAAGCAAGAAGAACAGAGTTAAGGGGACAACATAAAGCGATGATATCTAACAAGAAAATCACCGAGTAGAAACTTGTCAGATGTAGATACCAACTCTAATGACTGTGACATGCATTTTGGATTAAAGTGGCCTAATCTGTTAAGCAAGTCTAATGTTCAACTCTTGTTGTGCCTCTAAGTTGTAAAACTGGGCTTCAGCACTCCAATTGTCCCATTTAATCCACAATCCCTAGTCGACTTGTAGTGCCCTGAAGGGTTTTCACCATCAAGCCTCTCTCATTTTGCTCTTTTTCTCAACTCACCATCGCCTTACGGTGCCCCTGTGGGTTTTTACCGATAAGACTCTCTCATTTTATCATTTTCTCTCTTTGTGATGAGAACAAGGTATTACCCATGATACAAAAAGATTAGACTTTTACCACACATTTGATTTGGCATCCTCAAATATTGGTCAAAAGGTTTTTCTTTGGACCGTAATTTAGTCTTTTGGATAGGGTTGGAAAGAAACGGTGGCATGAAGGCTCAAAATAATTTAAGATGAAAGTGTTCAAAATTACAACTTTTGGAATCAAATCTTTTGGCAAAATTAAAACTTCTGCCCCAGTTTTTGGAGCATGGGGATTTTTTTTATGGGATTTCTAAGAAAATTTGCCCCACTCTCGACTTCGGGGGTTATGAAATAGTTTATTTGGTGTGATCGAACCGTAAGGCTGCCTACGTATAGGTGACAAGAATCAGGTCAAACGTAGTTCAAACACAAAGTTGGACTATTTTGTTGTTTTCTTTTCCTTTTATTTCTTTCCTTCTTCTTTTTCTTTATTTTTTTTTCTTCTTTTTTTTTCTTTTTACTTTTTTTTCTTTCCTTTTCTCCTTTTTCTCTTTTTCTTTTCTTTTCTAGTTCCCAGCTCTACCCAAAAGAGGGGTATGAAACAAAAATTAGGACTCAAAATGGGTAGCAACGAATAAAAGTGTTTGGGTAGCAAAATAAAATGTCTTCGTCATACCAAACTTAAAAATATCAAGTACAAACATGCAATTGAAAATAAGCAAACAAATCAGACATAGTATCTATTGATAGCATCAACACAAACAAAAAGTGCCAATGGGCAATACCTTTGTCCCAATGAATGACCCTTGCCAGTTCGAAGCAGACTTGACTCAACCTTATCTTGATGTGGAAGAATGCATTTCAACACTGACTGATTTACCTCAAACTGCTTGAGAGACATTTTCTTGTTGTATTCTCTTATCAACCTCTTGATTCCGTAGACTTACTACCCCAGTTTCACTCAATTCAAAGTTCAGGTCATCTCAGAATGCGTGAATCTTTAATTGTTTCCTTAAACGCATCCTTTTATCATATTCAAAACTGTGCCATTGCTTCATGATTAGACTAACTTTTAAGATCAGGCTGAGAATTATGCGTTCATGTCATGTCACTAGAGTCGTCATGAAAAGAACTATAAAAGGAAAAATTACCTAAACAAAAATTGACTAGAACTAACAGAAAATAGGAGATTGCATTAAACAGATGATGAAAAGGGTTTGAACAAGACAAGCAAATTAGACATGGGTTACAACCCTGGAACAATCCTAAATAACACTAGACAAGTTACTACAACTAAACAAACTAGACAAAATGAGAAGAAGAAGAGTTTGAGCCACAAGACAATATCTGGATTACAACCCTGAAATAACCCGGAGAAACAGAAATGACAACAAAATAAACCACCAAAACTCCTCCCTGGCTAGCCAAGAAAGGAGTGTCTTTCCAATTACCAAGCTCGACATATTAGCCACTGGGTTGCACATCAAAATTGTTGGGACCTTCACCAATTTCAATATCATTAACTTCAGTCAGCAAGCACCCAAAAGGATTCTTATACTCCCTGTCACCATGCATCTCCCCCACAAAGTGTGCATCATCATGTGCAGGTAAAGGATTCCGGGCGATATTCTGGGTGTCACTGTCCTGGACCACAATCATCCCTTCTTGAATCATTCTTTCTATCTCCCTTCTCAAAGCACGACAATCTTCAATGCTATGCCCTTGGACATTAGAGTGGTATATGCACCGTACACTAGGATCAAAACCTTTTGCATATGGGTTCGGAGTATAGCCGACGAGCGGCTCAATCAGGCCAGACTGTTTTAGCTTTTCAAACAAGCTTGTGTAGGATTCTCCGATTGGCGTAAAACTATTTCTTTGCCTTTGTTCCCCTCTATACCCATGTTTCCTAGGGTTGTTGGGTGCTCGAAAATGTTGTGAAGGCAAAAGAATATTATGCGGTACTGGTGCTCGCCATAAGGAGTGACCCAGTAGTTGAACAAATGACTGGACGTTATTAGTAGGATAATACTGAGGTGGATTATGTGGAGCTCGGGATAGGTTTGGGGTTGGGGTCGAGGCTGAGTATATTGGTGAGGCGGACCCGTTGGGCCATGTCGTGATCCTGAGACGACCATGGCAACATCATTATGTTCCTTCTGACCCAGCAAGCTCCCTGTGTCGTTCTGAATTGCTTGTGTTGTGGATTTTAAGGCAGAATAGCTCATGATCTTGCTTGACTTCAGTCCCTCTTCAACCATTTCTCCCATCTTTACCACATCATTGAAAGACTTACCAATTGATGATATCAAATGTCCGAAGTAAGTAGGCTCCAGGGCTTGAAGAAAGTATTCAACCATCTCATCTTCTTCCATCAGAGGATTGACCCGTGCAGCTTTCTCCCTCCATCGGAACCCATATTTTCTAAAGCTTTCACTAGGCTTCTTTTCTACCTTGGTCAGGGACAGGCGATCTGGGACAATGTCTATGTTGTACTGAAAATGCCGAGCAAAAGCCTGAGCCAAATCATCCCATGTGTACCACCTGTTGGCATCCCGGCGGGTGTACCATTCTAAAGCTGCCCCGCTCAGACTCTGGCTGAAGTACACCATCAGTAATTCGTCCTTTCCCCCGGCGCCTCTCATTTTAGTTTGCAATAACATCTCAAATGAGCTACAGGATCCCCATGTCCGTCATACAAGTCAAACTTAGGCATCTTGAACCCGGCAGGTAGTTGGACATCAGGAAACAAACACAAATCTTTATAAGCCACACTCACCTGGCTTCCTAACCCTTGCATATTTCTCAATGATTGCTCCAGGTTCTTTAGTTTCCTAAATATCTCCTCTTGCTCTGCGTTCTTGGGTGGCTTCTCAATTTTAACATGAGGCTCAAAGCAGGGAGTGTAGGAGTAAGGATCTGGGACTTTGAAGGTGGGTTCCGGGGAATAGTACTGGGTATCTGGAGCTTGGTATGTGGGTTCACTGGAGGATCGGTGGAGGGTAGCTTGTGGAGGGGGTACAAAAATAGGAGCAGATGTCGGAGCAGGGTGTGAGGTTGGTTTGGTTGGTGGAGCATGGAAAATTTGGGCTAAAGTGCCAAAGTAATTGTGGTAAGGGGTGAATCCTGGTGCGTGTTGTGGGGAAAGATCAACGAAATTGGGCATCTAGGAGTGGGATAGTGGTGGGATAGTTGCAGTGTTTTCAGTGTAGTTAGTGGGGAATGAAGGTGGAGGATGCCCCCTGATCCAAGACTGATACATTTCTACCATCTGTTGTTTCAACCTTTGGACCTCCTCTTTCAATTCAGATTCTGACTTCTCAATCTCCCTCGACAGGTCAACAATTCTTGTGTCCAAGTCTTTGCTAGCCATGAGTACCTTGCTCATTGACCTTGTGTTGTATGGACGAATCGCCAAAGTGCCGCAAACTAACCACCCTCTGTTATGATAACAATAAAAGTAACAAAGGGGAGCAAAACAAAGCCAACATGTTAGCGTTAGGGTATTTATCAGATAGAAATATCACATTGCGTGCAATGCCCCTAGTCACAATTAACAGTTCTAGAATAGCTTCGAGAGTACAAAGGTCATATGGCATCATCCCAATTTCACTCTTCTTGCCCCATTTCCCTCTTCATTTTCCTTTTTAACACCACTTGGTTTCTCATTTCTTTCCCCCTCTTTTCTTTCCTCTCATTTCTCACGTCCCACATCTTCATTCTTTTTTTCTTTTTTTTTTGTTTTTTTTTTTGTTAAAATATGCTTCGATCGAACCCTATGTAGGTTGCCTACCTATCATGTCCCTCATGAATTAGATCAAGCGTAATTCTAGAAAAAGTAATGGACAAATAAAAAAAATAAAAATCTTTTTTGATTTTTCAGTTACGACTTTCTTTTTTTGGATTTTCAAATACAAAACAGGAAGTACTATAACAAAAGACTCGACACTCTTAACTAGACTGACAGACTCGATACTACTGTACAAGACTAAAAATTAAAAGACAACATAAGATAGACTAAAAAATAAAAGTTTCCTCAAGCAGCTCGTGCATGCAATGGTCTTGACTAGAATGGTCCTGGGTATTTGTCATGCTCAAACTCTAGCAAATTGCTCCATACCTGAATGAAAAAAATAAGATCAAATAGAGTTAATGACTCAAGACACATGTGACACCACGACACCTTCTATTGGACACATGCAAGGCATGATTAAGGCTATTTTTGCAAAATGACCTACGTAGCCAAAATGTGGCTATTAGCGCAAACTCAACAAAGATGACCTCAAAGACATGGACATACCTCACTAAGGCTTATATGTTTTCGAACTCCCAATAATCATGACCCAAAATTAATTTGCAGAAATGACCCATTTTGCAAAAACGGCCGATGTGGACCGAAGTGGCTAAAGATGCAAACTCAATGAAGACGTGCCTTAACTTAATATTACACCTAATTGTGGAATCAAGATTCTGAGACATGGGTCATTGGACCACTTTTGCGAAAACGGCCCCATTTTGCAAGAACAGCCGATGTGGCCTAAAGTGGCTAGACATGCAAATTCAACAGGAATGGACCTTAAAACTGAGAGGACACCTTGTTGTAGAATCAGGGCTCTAAGACATGAGATAACAAACTACTTTGAGAAAATAACTCTATTTTGCAAAACGGCCGATGTGGCCAAAAGTGGCTAGACATGCAAGATTTGGCTAAGACCCCGCCAAGCCAAGAACCTAAGACTTACTAGGAAGACCGGACCCTATGTGGGTTGCCTACGTATCCCGCCCCGAAAGACGAGAATCAGGTGTGCGTAGTTCGGGAAGATTAGATATAGGATAGAATTTTAAAAAATGCATCTAATTTGAAAAAAAAAACTACATATTTTTTTTGTCTTTTGAAAAAATGATGAAAAATATAAAATCTTTTTGGATTTTCTTTTTCTCTTTTTTTTTTTGAATTTTGGAAAATGATGGAAAGTGTAAAATCTTTTTATTTTGGATTTTTCATTTTCAAAAATTTGTGAAAGAAAAATATAACTAGGCCCTACTTGCTTCATTTTCACCCTTCTTTCCCAAAGATCGGTCCACCAAATGACCTTTTTACCCTTAAAGATGCAACATGTATCACATAGAGATGATTGAATGTCCTTTTTGGGCCATGTGCCCGTTTTGACATAATTTGGATAGGCCTCCTATAAAGGGACAGGGTGCTTGGGACCGAGCCCTGCTAAATGTAAATGACATGATGCAAATAAGCATGACCTAAAGGCTTACCTAAGTTTGAGGGTTCACTAAACAAGTCAATTCGGGGCGGCATGTGGTCGATGGCGGCTGCTCTAGCTGTCCGTCCACTCCACGCTCCCACGCCACCCCCTAAAGACACGGGTGACTCAAAAAAGGCCGTGTACGCGCAAACGTACTCCGAAAGACTTGTTGCAGAAAGAAGACCTGGGGTTATGGAAATGATGACAATTTATAAAGTAATAACACATAAAAAAAAACTGTAAACAAATAAGCAACTAGCAAATAATAAAACGACATAAACAAAATAAAAATCAAATAAAGCAAACAAAACACATAAAAAAAACCTCAACCGAATATCCTAAAAAACCAACAAGATCAAGTACTAGCTCGAACCTGCAATTCCCCAGCGAAGTCGCCAGAAATGTGACACCCCTTTTTTAACAAACCTCACTTACCCTCTTAAAATAAATAAAAAGGATTTGTAAAGCTTGAAAAGGGTTTCCAATTAGAACGTGACAAAAATTGTGTTCAAAAGGAAATAACTCAGAGTTGCCACCTGACATTTTCGGTGTGCCAGGTCACCATTTTTTTAAAATGATTTTTCCTTTAAAACACTTTGGACTCCATAAATAAGTCCGCACCAGAGGTTTGGGTAAGGGGGTTCATTTGACTCGGGGAGAAGGTGTTAGGCATTCTCCAAGTCCCGTAACTAGTACGGTTGCATACTTGATCTAGACGGCTTTTAAAATATTCAAGTTGAGGTAAAATCACGAAAAAGCAAAATAAACACACAGAGGCTCGAGGTCATCCCCACCTAATAAAAGATGAATAAAAATAAAAACACTACGAGTTCTACTGTCGATCTCCAAGTACAAATACTTCGGGGCATGCCCCAAAATAAAATATGTACAAATTCTTCGAGGCATTCCCCGGACAAATTTAACTAAGGGAACGACCTCTCACCTCAAAAGAAACTAAACTCAAATGCCCTAAATATTTGCCAACCTAGGTGTGGTCGACCTAAACATGCGACTGGGGGTGAAGTAATGGAACAAAAGTAACGAAGCATTAAAAGCTTAAATTTTCTTAACCAACTTTATACCCCACATCAAACAATTCCGCGCGCGCGCGCGCGCGCGCGCGCGCGCACATATATATATATATATGTATATATATCAGACAATTAAAGCAAAGTAATAAAAAAAACATGGACATGCGTAAGCAATTTATATCAAACAATAAGACAAGTGATTTAAACATGATATTGGCCCTTCGTGAATTTCGTACTCTGAAATGGCTCTTATGGATTTGGGACAACGATAATGAATTCAAAAGAAAAGAAAAGAAAATGACAAAGGAAATAAGACAAACTAACTATGGGATTTTAATATCAACTACACAAAAAGGAACTCATCACTAGCGTTATTCAATTTGCTATTGTTAGACACTAATTCATATGAACATCTAACCTCAAAACCATTTCTTAAAAATAAAAAAAATAAAAAAAATTTATTCCTGTGAGGATGCCTTTTCCATTTAACAGGGTGCTTTTGTCAAAACATTAATAAAAGACAAAACAATCAAATATTTTAAATCCTAAATGGACCCTTAGTAAACAAGCAGAAAATCTCGACTCCACTAAAAATGAACGCTAGGACTAGATTGAAACATTAACAGACTCGGATGAACTCAAAGGGCCAATACCATATTTAATATCACATAAATTCAAACAACCGGTTAAAATGGGAAATAGATGAACCTGAAAATAATCTTGCAATTAAAATAATTTTGGCAGTTCACGGACAGAATGCCGCAGCTAAGAATGAAGTTCGAAATCAGCAAATCCAACTCGAACGAAACCAATGGACCGCACATTGAACAATAACACCAACGATTGAACACCGTTTTCAACTCCATTTGAACGATTCTCAGCTTCTATGCTTTCATCGGAAGAACCAAGAACAACTCCAGAATTTTCATTTGATTTTTCTTTGTTTTTGACCGGGTTCCACTCTATTTTTCTTGTGATGAAGCTCTGTTTCCGTTGCCTCGCTTTTACCTGTGTGTTTCCCGGTGAGTTTTGGTGAGAAAGGGTTGGTTTTCGGCAGTTGAGTGGAGGCTGGATGGTGGGAAACAGCGCTTGGGTATTTTGGAATTGAGGCAGGTGGTGAGGAAGAGGATGGGCGGTTGAAGCTTCTTGGAGAGGTGGTGTTTCGATGGCTCTCGATTGGAGGAGTTAGGTTAATGGCTGGCTTGTTCTCCTGGAGGGGATTAGGATCTGTTAGGGTTTTTTTGTCTTGTGTTTCTAGGGCCTTTTTTGGTGTAAGGGTGGTGGAGTTAAAAGGGAAGATGGGTCATGGGATTGGGCTGTCGATTTGGGCTAAAATTGTCTTTAAAAATGGCCCTTTGGTTTTACAAGACTAAAAATATTGATTTCTTTTCTAATACAATATACTATAAAATTGTAAAATCATTACTAATTAACTAAAACAACTATATTATGACATGAAACTATTTTTGATATTTACAAGGATTATACTAAAAATAAAATTGGGTAAAAAATAATATTCTTCTAAAAATACCAAATACCTTAATTAAATAGAGAAAAATGAAACTATTTTTGTATTTTCAATTTTATGATAAAAATAATGTAAAAGAGTCAAAATTAGTTGAAATAACTATATTAGACCTAAACTAAGTATTTAAATGCTAACATATGTAAAATCTTGGGGAGGGTCAAAAATCACATGTCTACAATCGCGAACGCGATGAAGGTCTGCCCAGCGATTTTTAAACAGTAAACAACACACTTGGAATTAAACCAAAATTTCATAACTTCTTCTTCCAAACTCCAAATTGGGCGATTTTGAAAGAGAACTTCACCACAAATTCATACGTATGTAATCTTAGGCCTAAATCATGTTCTTAAGGGTAGAAATTAGGGATTTGGGTAAAGTTAGGGCTTTTTGTATAATTAGAATTTAGACCTCGTTTTGGGGCCGGATTTCGAAACTAATTACATATTCGGGCTCGTGGGTGAATGGGTGATCGGGTTTTGGTTTGAATCTCGTGTTTTGACCAAGCGGGTGATAAGTTAGGATTTTAAAGTGTTTATGTCCCTACTTGCCTATGCTTTGAGTATAAATTGATACAAAAACAGTCCCAAAATGCTCACAAGTTGTGCTTGATTGCAGAGTTGATTGACAAAGTGACGAGATGTCAAAAATCGGCTCAAAAAGGAGTGAAACCTGCTCAAGTATCAAAGACCAAGGGAAGTGAAGAAAAAGGGGGCCTAGTGCGAACCACGTAACAATGATCGCGGCCGCACTAGGAGGTTCAGAGACTGGACATTTTTTGAGCCTAAGGTCACGCGGCCGCGGTAGGATTCATGCGGCCCGCGGAGAAGTTTCGCGGCCGCACTCCTTCTCTGTGCGGTCCGCGTTCATAGGTTTCAGAAAAAGGGCATTTATCCTCATGCGGTCCGCGGTCACGTCTGCGCGAACCGCGCTAGTTGCCTTCGCAGCCGCGGTACACTCCTACGCGGTCCACATCCCCCAGTTCAAGTCATCAAACAACTGAAACCCAATAGCCAGTGCGGCCGCAGTTCGTTTTATGCGACCCCCACTGACCCCACAGGGGTATTTTTGTTCAGTTTTTCCAGCCTAGTATAAATATAACATTTTACTATTTTTTTAAAGAGGAGGTCACATCTGAGAACAGGAGGATAGCTACGCTTGGTGTTGTAGCCATTTTTGGCATATTTGCTCCCCATTAACAATAGATTATTGTAGTTTCTTCTTAGTAATTAATTAATATGTGTAGTTCTTCATCTATTTCTTCAGTTTCTTCTTTAATTATGTGTAGCTAAACCCATTAGCTAGGGTTGTAGCTCAACCCTAGTGTGGGTAATTGATGGGTGTTGCCATCTAGGGTTAGATTGACTATGGGTGTTTGTTATTTGGATTGATTTTATGATTTAATTTAGAATTGGAGGTTGCAAACACTGATTCAAGCTTTGTGGGTTTAACTCTTCTTGAGAAAGAGAGTTTATGACCTCAAAATTGACACAACAAGGAATTGGTATGGACTCATGAGAAATGATAGTCCCAATTAACGGGTTAAATCTCGAGAGAGTAATCACCCTACTTGACCCTAGTTGCTTGGTCTAATTTGCCAACCCAATTGGTCTCGAGAGAGTCAATTGAGTAAAATCATTCTCTCTACCGAGATGTGTGAGAGTGGGTAAAATTTGTGCAACGGTTATAACATAACCCCCAAACAAGTTCAATCGAACCTAAGTAACATCTACCTGTCAATTAGCCACCAAGGTAATGCCACAACCCTAGTGCTCTTCCTTTCCATTAATTACAACTTAGCAATATTCTCCTAGCATAATCTAGCTTTAATCCGTAGTTTTATAATATTAGTTATAAATACAAAAACTCAAAAGATGATTGAAGTGACATTAGAAGCACAACCACAACTCTAGGCTAGACAGAAAATACAACTCCACTACTAGCTCCTTGTGGAAATTCGATCCTGGACCTCTATTCGGGTAAAAGCTATTGTGATCTGCTCTTCCTATCATAGTGGAGTATCGAGTCGACAGCGATCAACTTTTTGGCGCCGTTGCCGGGGAGCTTACGGTGTTGACTATCTGTTTAGTTAGTTTTGTATTGTACTTCTCTTTCCTTCTTCTTTACTAATTTCGTTTGTGTCGATCAATCTGGTACAATGGCTCTTAATGCAAATGAGCCTCTCGGGAATGTGATAGCGGGGAAGGAGGTAGAGAATCTAGAACCAGATGAGGTCTTACCTTAACTTCCACGGAGAGGCCGACATGTCAATGTAAATGCAAATGAGAACAAGAATATTCCAGACCCTCCTCCGCCACCACCGAGAGTGGCTCCCAGAGTTTTACCAAATCAAGGATACGCCAGTGCTATTGTTCCTCCCCGAATCCGGGCAGNCCACCTTTGCCTAGGCCACCTCTACCTTATCCTCAATGGTTAGCAAAGCAAAAGAGTGACAATCAATTCAAAAAATTCTTTGACATGATGAAGAGCCTCACAATCAATGTCCCTTTGGTTGAGGCACTTGAGCAAATGCCGGGNAAACCAGACCAACGTGTCCGAGGATGCATTTAGGTTGAGGCTTTTTGCGTTCTCTCTTCGGGGTAAAGCATTGGATAGGTTAGAAAGGCTCCCCAATCATTCTATTACAACATGGGNATCAATAGCACCTAAGCTTGAGGATCCCGGAGCTTTTACTATCCCTTATACCATCGGAAGTGCAGATTTTGCAAAGGCCCTTTGTGACTTGGGGGCTAGTATAAATTTGATGCCGTACTCAGTCTTCAAGACTTTGGGAATTGGGCAACCTCGACCTACCTCAATGAGACTTCAAATGGTGGATCGATCGATGAAGCGACCTTTGAGCATAATCGATGATGTTCTTGTCCGTGTTGATAAATTTATATTGTCGGCCGACTTTGTCATATTAGATTGTGAGGTGAATTTTGAAGTGTCGATTATTCTTGGAAGACCTTTCCTAGCTAAGGGGAAGGCATTAGTTGATGTTGAAGCGGGTGACTTGACATTCCGAGTGGGAGATGAGAAGGTGGTATTCCATGTTTGCAAATCAATGAGACAACCAAATAGCACCGAGGTGTGTTCTTTTGTGGACATTGTCACAGCCGTGATAGTGGATGACACAAGTTCCATGATCAATGTTGAAGAGCCTCTTGAGGCCGTGGTTCTTAACATGGATGTCAATGATGATGCTAGTAGAGTGGAGTGCGTGAATGCATTGCATGGTATGAGTTCATATTCTTATGAGCCTAGAAGGCGATTTGGATCTTGAAAACCGCAAAACTCCACCAACGAAGTCATCGATTGAGGAGCCACCGGTGTTGGAGTTGAAATCACTTCCTCCACACATCAGGTATGAATTCTTGGGTTCAAATTCTAATTTACCTGTCATTCTTTCTTCTTGCCTTACTAACATGCAGGTTAAGGCCACCTTGGCAGTTCTTCATAGGCGAAAGAGGGCAATCAGATGGACTCTAACTGATATTCGGGGTATAAGCCCTGCCTTTTGCATACATAAAATCATATTGGAGGAGGATGCGAGGCCTTCACTTGAGCATCAAAGAAGACTAAATGAGGCTATGCAAGAAGTAGTAAAGAAAGAGGTTATCAAGTGGCTTGACGCAGGTGTGGTTTATCCCATTTCTAATAGTTCATGGACTTCTCCGGTGCAATGTGTACCGAAAAAGGTGGAATGACTATGGTGACCAACTACAACAATGAGCTTATTCCGACTCGGACAGTGATGGGTTAGAGAGTTTGCATGGATTACCGGAAGCTGAACAAGGTGACTAGAAAAGATCATTTCCCATTGCCTTTCCTTGACCAAATGCTTGATCGTCTTGCGGGCCGGGCTTTCTATTGTTTTTTGGATGGTTACTCGGGGTACAATCAAATTCTCATTTCCTCGGAGGACCAAAAGAAGACGACTTTCACATGTCCTTATGGCACATTTGCTTTCTCCAGAATGCCATTTGGATTATGTAATGCTCCGGCGACCTTCCAACGTTGAATGATGGCTATTTTCACCGACATGGTGGAGGATATCTTGGAGATCTTCATGGATGATTTTAGCGTGGTTGGGGATTCTTTTGAGGAGTGCTTGGTAAACTTGGATAGAGTGTTGGCCCGGTGTGAAGATACCAACCTTGTTCTAAACTGGGAAAAGTGCCATTTTATGGTAACAGAGGGTATAGTGTTGGGTCACAAGATCTCGAATCGAGGAATTGAAGTTGATAAGGCCAAGATCGAGGTTATTTCAAGGATTCCTCCCCCTACTTCTGTCAAAGGAGTGAGGAGTTTTCTTGGGCCCGCGGGTTTCTACCGGAGGTTCATCAAAGATTTTTCTAAGGTAGTTAACCCGTTGTGTAAATTGCTAGAGAAAGATGCCAAGTTTGTTTTTGATGAGAAATGCATGGAGGCTTTTGAGCTCCTTAAACAAAAGTTGACCACTACCCCCATCATCACTGCACCAAATTGGAGCTTACCATTCGAGCTCATGTGCGACGCGAGTGACGTTGCGGTGAGGGCGGTTTTAGACCAAAGGATCAGCAAGATGTTCCACCCGGTGTACTACTCAAGCAAGACCATGAATGAGGCTCAAAGGAACTACAC